TAAAATAAACTCCTAATGAGAACTCCACTAATATATAGAAGGAAAAAGAAAAACAATTAGCCAACGTTCAAAAGAGATGAAATGTACTTTTTTATTGAGGATTCATTTTTTTTTTACATGCAAAGCTTATTCTAAAAGTGAATCTGTATTGAGTTGACCCTGTCACGAAGGAAAATGTGTCCCATTCCACACAATGGGAAAAACCAAAGCTGTTTACACAAAACTTCATTCCAATTGCTCAATCCAGATAATTTTCGCCAGTATTTGGGTTCAGAACTTCTGCTCTTAACCAAATAGTAAGTCTAGCTAGCTTGTGACTTTTGCTGGTAGTGCTTCTCAAATTTAGAGGAAAAACAAAAAAAAAAAGTTACATGAGAATAAAATCCCCACAGAGCGAAGCCAAATTTTTTAAGGAGTAAATTGACAAAAACAAAACCGAACAAAAACCCCACAACAGTAACAATAAAATAACGAAACAAACAAACTAAAAAGGTCATACACTCAATTTGGCATGCAGAAGGAAAACCAAAATAAAACAAGGCGATCAATATCCATCGTGATATTGCCATTTCCATTTTAATTACCAGAATGGCTGACATCATGAAAACTGAAAGTCAGATAGAAGACGACAGAGTCAAAAGGAAACCAGTAATCAATATTGTGTAAGAAATACTTATTTGAGGATAACCGACCAAATCCATTTGAATATGTGACCAACACTTCTGTGGACGGGACATACACTGCATTCTTTTTACTTTGTGACTTTAAAAAAAATTAATTAAAATTCATTTATTTTTTTGTGCATTGCTGTTTTGCCTGCATGTATATCTGTGTGCGGGTATCAGATCTTGGAGTTACAGACAGTTGTGAGCTGCCATATGGGTGCTGGAAATTGAACCTGGGTCCTCTGGAAGAGCAGTCAGTGCTCTTGACCGCTGAGCCATCTTCCCAGCCCCTACTCTGTGACACTTCTTACTGATCTTTTCCTAATGTATAGTTCCATTAAAATACAGAAAGATACTTCCCGGCATGCACCAGTTACTTCCCTTTCCTGTTCAAAAATGCTGTAGCAGAGGAAACAGTACCTATCAACTAGACCAGACAGAGAGGGATGGATAGTGACTAAGCCTATCCGGAACCAGCCATTCAGACTGGGCAGACGAATGCCAGCTAAAGCTGTACCTCCCTCTCCTGGTACACACTACACGGACTATATTCTGCTAGAATTAGCAGATGCCCACTTCAATGTCTGCTTGAAATGCACATGAAAATCTAATACCAAACAGACTTATATATCACTACTTGATTTGGGACCAGGGTGAAGATGCAACCTGAACATGTTTGGAATTATAGCTAAGCAAAAAAATAAACTTAAAACAGTCCTAGGCAGAGGATCATGACATTGAGGTTGGTCTGGATGATAGAATGAGCCTCTGGCCGGCTTGGGCTATAAAGGGAAGACCTTTTTTTTTTTTTCTTCTTAAAGATTTATTTATTTATTATGTATACAACTTTCTGCCTCCACGTATACCCACACGCCAGAGGAGGGCGCCGGATCTCATTACAGATGGTTTGGAGCCACCATGTGGTTGCTGGGAATTAAACTCAGGACCTCTGGAAGAGCAGACAGTGCTCTTAACCACTGAGCCATCTCTCCAGCCCCCTAAAGGGAGGACCTTAAAAATTCAAAACAAAGGACAAATATTGGCTCGGGTTTTCTTGAATAAAGGTTTGTCTTATTATTTTCACGTTTAGTGTGAATGTGTCTCTCGGTGTGTGTATTCACGTGCGACACATTAACATCTAGAAATCAGAGGACCACTCGTGGGAGCTGGGTCTCCCTCCACCACCGTATGGGTTCTGAAGTTTGAAGCCTGGGGCTTGCCAGTGTTGGGAGGAGGAGTTTCTCCAAGGCAGGACATTGCTGGACCTGGTTCAAGTCTCCAAGCACAGAACGATAGCATTGCCCTCTCCACAGCGAAGAGCAAGTGACCAGCATGGAGGGAGGGAGCGCCTTTGGCAGGGGCTGACCAGAAAACTGCTGGATATTCCTAGGGTTCTGTTTTCAGTTTAAAGGGACGAAACAGCATCACGCCGTTTTCAGGTACGTATTGTTAGTTAAAATTCTTACGCATAAGATGTCCCATGGAATGCACACAGAGCTCACAGTGGTACAGCACTTAGCCTGGAACCTGTGAGGTTCTGGGCTCAATTATTGGTACCACAGAGAATAACAGTAGCTATAACTTAACAATCAAAAAAGGATGCCCTTGAGTTCCAGTATAAAAGCAGTCGCCCTTGGCTGGTGCACACCGGGAGTGGTTTGGATGCAGATGTGGGTGCTGGACACTAATTTTAACTTCAAATGTTTGTTCTTTTGCATTTTGTGTGTTCCCTCTAATGCAAAGTTGGTGCACCTAGGTTCATATAGTCCAGTGAGGACACATTGAAACTACCTGAACAAAGGTAACAGTGCTAATTAATGCTGAACGTCTCTCTCGGGTTGCTGGAAACCACACAGCCCACCCCCTTCCCTTTCTAACACAAGTGCCTTACAGCAAAGCCACCAGGAAGTCTGGAATGAAGGAGATGCGTATAGCAATTTTCAGTTCTTGTCGGCATGGGAAAAGGCCCACCATGCGCATTCGGGGCATAACGAAGTTATGTTTTAGAAGTTATTGTTTTAGAAGAACTCTGTGTTCTGCGTTAGGGTATTACAGGTGTGAACCACTGTGCCCGACTCTAAATCCCAAATGATTGGTGAACAAAAAAATGGCTATTTCTTGTTTAACATTGTACAGAAGTTCAACTTAAAAATAAATTGAATTGTAGATCATACGTCTTTTTCAAAAGCGTGTAAAAATCTGTATGTGGAATAAATACGGATTTTTAAGGAGCTGGGGGAAGGGCTCCAACGGAATGCTCTGCCTAACTGTCCTGGGGTTCTGCCTAAGGAAGTGCACCTGCGAGTATTTTGTTAAAAAAGAAAAAAAAATATATGTGCTGAAAATGCTCAAAATTAGCCAAATGGGGAAAACTTCAAAACAGCTCAGTTTTTAAAACTTTCATAGCTGATATCATCTTTAAAAAAGAAAAAATTGATTCTTTACATACAGATTAAAAAGGAAATTCAAACTATCTTATTGAAAAATCAATATACTACTGTATTTTAGGGTGGGGTATTGACAGCATTTTTACAACATCTAAAGGTAAACGAGGAATAAGGTAGCGAAGATACTTCTGTCACAGACCTAAGGACGGCCAAAGGGCTCACAGAGTCTGGCATAGTACCTTATGCGTGGGCAGCTGGGGAGGCCAGGGGACCTAAGTTAAAGGGGGAAATGCAGGAGAGAGAGTTCCAGCTCCAGTGACTTCAGTGGGAAATACAGGCAGAAAGAGAAGGCAAAGCCAAGGGACTCAGAACCGGCAGGCAGCAGCAGCAGAAATTGTGGAAACCAAGGCCTAACGTACGCCTCTCCTGGAGCTGGTGTTTCTGTTCCTCCAGTGGGTACGGTCGATCCGTAACTTCTGGGGTGAGGAGTGGGGAGACCCTTGTGGCGAATAGAGAGACTTGTAGAAGACCGCATCTATATGGATCGCTCCTCCTCCTTCCCCCCCATTGTCTTATCTTCCTTGTTTTTTTTCTGGCAGCGGATAAATGAATGGATTTGGTAAGTGGAGCAAAAGGAGCCTGCAGGGCACCCAGTGGGGCTTTACCATGTTCAGGTTCTGAACTGAACTCTGATGAGCAGACATCTGCCTGAAAATCACCCAGCCAGCCACTCAGTGGCAGAGTGCCTGCCGGGTTCAGCTCCCAGAACCTTTACAAAGAGGGAAGAAAAAGGAAAGAGAGTCAACTGTAGGTATCCATGTGTTGAGGGAGGGGGAGGGGTCTCAATACAAAAACACAAGACGAAACAACCCTAGATACAAGGATATTGAACAGGAGCCAAGTTTATTTTATAAATCTTTCAAATATGGTCTCTTTAGGATTTTCAGTATTAGGAAGCAGGAGCCCTTGGGACATGGGACTGTTCTCTCATGAGGAAAATCGCATCCCTGTGTTTCTCCAAGTCAGGAATCAGCTGAGCTATTCTGGTTATCAAATGTACAAATATTTTTAAGTGTGGAAAAATATTTCGGTTCTGATTTTGAAGCACATGCTATTCAAGGCATCGATTTTCTTCAACACTGAAACTGTACACAACTCGAGGCCTGGAGGATGAGCCACTTTTTAAATATCCCATATTCACTGAGAAAACCTACAGCCATAAAAAAAAAAAAAATGATACGATAGTACCTACATAAGAAACTATACATTAACTGTTTTTTTCAGAAGTAATTGAAATTTTTCAAAACTCAAACACAAAATAGTAAATTTTCACTTACTATAACACAGTTCAAGTATTCTCTTAAGTTTACATTTAGCCAGCTAGAACACATTAAGTAACTCTATAAAATCACGTTCCTTTCAAGATTACCGCTATACAAAATAGTGTGTCCATCACTACTCAGAATCATTCGAGCACATGGAAAGAAAGATGACCTCAGAGAGGTCTTTATGAGCAAGTATTAACACACAGAAGACCGCACACATTAGTAATAAAGCATTTGTAGGCAATTCCCCAAGTACTTGAATTCATGTAAACAAAGACTAGGCATATTCCTGTAGGGAGAATATGTACTAACCTAGATTAAAATATATGCAAATGGCTGCTACTTTGAACCATATATTACTGGGATATCACACACAAAACCAAGAGACATTACCTTATCCTTTTTAATAACTAAAAATGTTAACGAATTTGTGAAATACAGGGTTGATACTTTTTAAGGCTAATAATGAAAAGGAGTAATTTTGCAAACCGGTATCCATCTGTTTGTCAGAAATAAATACAGTTATCTCAATGTATTGCTTCACGGGAGCGCATCTTCTCTGCCTTAGCCATGACATTCAATCAGTAGTTTAAAAACAGATTCTCCACACCGAGCCGTGAGTCTTCTACCTTGTCAGCTGCCCGACAACTTTCAAAAGAGTTTTATTCTCCTGCTTGAGCTGTTCATTTTCATCTTCTATATCATCAAGGTCCTGGGGAGAGGGGGAAAGAGAAAACACTTTAAAAAATACTGAAAAACATTCTAACGGAGACTTGAAATGAAAATAAAACACAAAGATAACTCATTTACTCTATTAATTTTAAAGTAATAAGCTCTAAAAATTACACGGACTATGCTCTAACGTTACTTGACTGGGCCAATTCTCCTGGAACACCCAGTTTTTCAAAACCAGCCAGAAATCAAGGTTTTAAAATTGTGACACCAGACACACACACACACACACACACACACACACACACACACGTGTTCCCTGTGCTATAGATAGCCATATGGCCTGTACTAAAACCATAGTAAGTTTTAGCTATGAGAAATAGCAGTTGAAGGAAGAGTAGACATGTAAAGACTTATCTTTGCTGTTTAGAATATTAAAACTTGACAGAGTCCACCTGCATGACAAGGGCCACACAGCATTGTCTTGAGCGTACATTTTGTCGTTGGACTATCGGGCAGATAATTAAAGCGTTAGCAAAGTCAGAATTTGCACCTATTCACAGACTGAACAAACGCTAAGAAACAAGTCTGTTCAAATTATCATAAAAATGAGGTTTCTAAAATTACTGCAACTGAGATCCGCCTAAATTTAAATGAAATGATAAAATACATTCGTGCACCATTAAGCAATACACTTGAAAAGGGCTCCTAAAATTAAAACTGTTAACACACATTCATGAGTCATGACTAAATGACAAACTTAGTAGGGAAGCGGCTTTCTGCTTATTTTTAATGCTCTTGGTGTCTGAGACAGCAGAAACACATCACGGGCATCACAAATATTTGTCGAGCCTCTTAAACTGAATTCCAGCACAAATAAAGGCATGCTTATGGTGGATCAAGATGAAAGACTACATAAGACCCAAGTCAAATACTGGCCCGGCCAACAGCGACATGCAACCTTGAGCAAGCTAACTGGGGTGCCTCTGTCCTCACCCACAGCTTGCAGACATCTCCTCCGAGCTGCATTAGAAGAAGCTGGCTCCGAAGCCCCCTCCTTTGGAGTGGCATATGGGCTCAAACCCACGGCATTGCCCGACCTAGGCAAGCACTTTACCAATAATTATTTTGTGGTTAGGACTGGATTAGGGGACCAAGCCTTGTCTCCCTGAAGTGAACCTTTCTTTCTTCCATCCCTTAAAATCCTCTAAAAAAACAGACCAATGGCATCTCTTCTCATCACAGCCCCCTGAGTAGATGCTTCCGACTTCGAGCAGTAGGGAAGTCTAGGGCTGAACACTAAAAGGAAGGGCTCCAAACCCAACACTGCTGGGCTTGGGACCTCAACTCAGAACTGGCAAAATTCTTTGCATTGTTTGAAGATGTGGTGAGAAACTCGGCTTATAGGATGAAACTAGAGGTCTCACCACTAATGGCTGCTTTTTTAACCAAAGAGCCAACCGTACAAGGCAATGAACAGGTTCTCCACCCTCCCATCCAGCTACTCAAAACACAAAGCCAAACAAACAGAAACACACACAGAAAACAAAATCAACCCTGGCATCGAAACGCAAGAAGACTTACTCTGTTTAACAAGTCGATCTCTTCCTTGAGTTTTCCTATCATTTCCTCTTTGTCTTGCATCAGTCTTACAAGCCTGAGGTTTTCTTGCCTTTCTCTGGCTATTTCCTGGTGAACACAGATCACAAAGCATTAACCGGGAGCAGGTTGCTCATAGTATCTTAAAATGACCAACACCCATCAATCACAGCCCAGGACTGCAGACATTGGCCAACCCCCTTTCAGCCATATCAGTCACAGAAGACAGGCCTGTGATGACAATGCCACCTCGCCCCTTTGTCAAGGAAAGGGTATCTGCATACTTTTTAAAAGAACAATATTGAAAACATTTGTTGACGTGGGATGTCCTTCCATATATTTGTTGCTTTTATTGGTTAATGAATAAAGCTGCTTTGGCCTATGGCAGGGCAGAATACATCCAGGCTGGAAGAGATAAAGAGAGTAGGCGGAGTCATGGAGACCACACGTAGCTGCCAAAAGAGATAGCTGTAGAACCTTACCAGTAGGTCACAGCCTTCTGGTGATACATAGATGAACAGAAATGGGTTAATTTAAGATATAAGAGCTAGGCAGGAATACGCCTTAGCTGTAGGCCAAGTAGTGTTGCAATTAATATAGTTTCTGTGTGATTATTCGGGTCTGGGAGGCTGGGAAACCATTGTGCAGGCTCTGTTTACAGCTCTTCAAGGCTGCCAGAAGCCGGGAACTAAGCCCAGCTCTCCTCAAACCTCCTGGAGTCTCTCAGAGGAACTTATTAAAAAGCAATCATGTGTGGTCTCTAAACCCTTAAATTTAAATAATGATTCCAATTAGAAACCTGTGCAAGCATCAATGTACCCTACAAGTAACCACTGGGCCAGTAGTAAATTATGTAACTCTCAAGATATCACAGAAAGTGACCTCCATTCATGAAAACAAAACGTATTTCAACCGATTATTTCAGCACCATTATCGATTTTAGATCAATGTCCGCGGGACACAGCCGAGATTCTGCAGCTCCTAACTTCATGGCGGCATTTGACTTGCTGTCGAAACATCTGTAAGCAGGTTTATCTTATTCCTACGTGAAAATGGTTCAAGCACCAAATGCGGGCCTCACTCACTCGGTTCAGATGGGGTAGCGCATGCAAGCGCAGACAGCCCAGCTCTCACGGACACTGCTCCTCATGCTACAAGACTCGGCAGAAGGGGAACAGCTACCGGATTGAGGAGTCCGAGAAGCTGCCTCACGTCTAAAGTGGACAGAAAAGCAGTAAGGAAACCAGGAAACCCCTAATCACTAGGTCTAGGAGCTAACGCACAAGACAGCGAGTCAAAGTTGCTCCTGGAGTAGAACCAAGTATCTCCCCCCTTGCTAGTGCCCCCCCACTCCCGTTTTCGGGCACAATGCCGTGAAACTGAGAGAAGAATGCTAAGACGTGTTCATTTTATTCTGAATAATTTATAATAATTTTATATATACCTTTTCCAGATCTTCAATTCTCTTTTCCAATGTGGTACTGGAGGCGAAGCTGCTGGCCATGTTGGCATCTCGGCTGTGTCTGTTGAAGCCACCTCTGTCTGGTCGGGGATATCGGCTGGAGTCATCATCTTCTGGGGCAGTGCTTGTGCTGTGGAAATAAAAGTGGGTGTTTTATATACATCCCCTAGCATTCTAGACGAAAAAGAGCAAGGTGGTTTTCTCTTCAGTCTGAATAATTAGCACTCCCTGAGGACACGATGTATCTACAGCTGTAGAATCTAATCCTCATCCCAACACAAGGGGGGTAAATGTATAACAGCACATGAATTCTTTGGGCCAATAACCAAGTGGCTGTTAGTGTCAGGGACTGTCCCAGGTGCTGAAGATGTCTATAGCAACCACAAACACGGGCGTCCTTTCAAGAGGGAATATGGGAATATCGTACCAGGTACAGTATGGTAATGACCACCCACCACTCTAGCCAAGGCTAACCACAGCAGGGACCTGAACTGAACCGAACGGGTCTCTTAGACCACCTACAGTGAAAATTCACTTCTCCTTAACTTTTGTTTGTTTGTTTTGTTTTTGGAGACAGGGTTCTGTGTAGCCCTGGCTGTGCTTGAACTTACAGAGAGATTCACCCACTTCTATCTCCTTACAGCTGAGATAGATTAAAGGTGCAGCGCACAATGCCTGTCTGCTGCCATACAGTTTGCACAGTTTGCGAGCTTCAGGCAAGGGGCTGGAGGTTGAAACACACAAAGGTTCACACAGAGACAGAGACACAGACCTCTAGTCACTGGTAAGAAGTCCTTTATTCAATAGCACCATGGAGGCTTATACACCCAACAGTCAGGTGGGCCAACAGGTGAAAACTTTATCCTCTGATCCTCCAAGCCAGGGCAACCCGTGCTTGTGAACACGTGCTCGTGAAGCAGAGCTGGTAAACAACTTTGACACAGCTTTCAGTAACTCAAATCAGAAGGAAAGTAAAGATCTCTAGCAGGGAAGAGTAGCTGGAGGCCAGGACTCTAAATGGTCCCAACATAAAGGTGTACATCACCAATAATGCTTGGCTTATATTTTCTTTAAAAAGGCTTTTTATTTTCCAAAGTTCAATGTCTGGTTAAATTCCAAAACTTAAAATCGAAATATAATTGGAACAATAATAAAGAAATGAACTGCCTAAAGTTGCGTATTTCCAGCTGAAAGTTTGTACACAGGCAACTTCTTATACGCTGGAAACTTATTATTCATACTGCAAACTTAGCCAGCACTCACTTAAATTAAATGCTTACAGCTGATTAACAGCATTGTCGCTATTTAAAGAATTCCATGTAACATGCTTTCCTCTGCTCTATTGTCTCCTACTACATAAAAATTACTCCCAAAGTGAGTTCCAGGACGTCAGGGATACACAGAAAAACCCTATTTGAAAAACAAAACAAAACAAACAAACAAAAAAAAACCCCCAAAAACATTGATTGAAAATCTACAGGCTATGCTTTTTAAAATTTTTGTTTCCGATCTTCCAGAGTAGCCACTTGAAATACTCGCCATCAGAGATCTTTTCAACCTATCCGATTTTAGGGGATCTGAGAGTAGTTTTCGAACACGCAACGCCACGGCAACCGCTGCCTTTGTCAATTATGCTAACTTGGAAGCCCGCGAAGGCAAGCTATTGAAGCTTTGCCCTATAATTTCTACCTTTTTTTTTCTTTCTTTGATCTTATCTGCCACTGACAAACATCTGACATTCCTTCCTTGCACAAAAGGTTAAGATAATTAAAAAAGAGAGAAGTGGGGAGTGGGGTTGTGCTGGGAGCCAAGTAAGTCTCCGGCGCATATTTATAAAGCTGGCGGCCAAACTGCGTTCTTATCTTGCAAAAACAGCCAAAGTTCATCCTGAAGTTCAAATACTCTGGACTGAAATTTTCCCTTTGAAAGCCAATGTATAACCACTTAGCATACAAGAGTCGATTAGCCTGGATGATAAGATCAACCTCGAGCTAACAGTTTTCAGGAGCCTCAGACTGAAAACATTACTGGTTATTCCCAGTGCCTTTAAGTGGACTACTACGAATTCGGTCGGCAGAGTTGGGCTCACACAGCAAGGCTTTTGCAAAGGGGAAAGTACCGCTTACGTTCTCCTGCACGCGCCGGCGTCTTCTGGGTGTGGCCACTTTGTCATAATCACAGTGGGGGATTACAAAAGCAAAGCAAAACTGCAAACTACGCGTAGCCCCCTTTTAAAATTCATGTATTTTACGGGAGTTGTGTCCATCAGCAATGAGGCTGAAAAATAACGTGTGCCAATAATCAACGTGCCCATCGCCTATGGAAGCTGTCTTGAGAGCGGACGGTCTCAAACTCTGTCTTGATCCTAATAACATGCAACTTCCCATGGTTCCCTTAGCAACCTATGCGCTTTGCAGACCTGACTAGTCTATACCCTATGCACTATGCTTACCTGACTAGTCTATACCCTACTCACATATCGGCGTAGGACAGGATCGAGTGTCATTCCTCAAGCATGGTCACATTTACTTACTTTTCTTTTTCTTTCTTTCTTTCTTTTTTTTTTTTTTTAAATTGAGATAGAATCTCTTGGTTTGCCCAGAGCTCACTAAATAGGTTTAGCAATCTTCAGGACCTACGTGCCTCTGTTTCCACAGTGCAGGGATTATAAAGCCAGGCTCAGGCTGCCATGGCTGAATTTTTTTAATGTAGGCTCTGGGAATCAAACTCAGGTCCTTGAACTTCAGGGCAGAACCATTCCTCCAGCCCTGTCATGTTTTAACACTGGCGACCTGAAGAAAGACTTGGTAAGAATCTCACGAAGTACAAACTAATGGTTATGATAACCCTGAACATGTGTTTATGATGAAGCCTAATGCATCCTATTAATTTATTGAGCCTATTTACGTTATGCATTCAAATACCGCATAAATTTAAGGCTTGCACTGTTTCATTGGCCAATACGTCTTTGTGAGCAATGCGCTATAGACTTAGCATTTCTCGATCGTCACAGCTAAAGTCTGAAATCAGCTTTACTGAGAAATGACACTTCCCAACCAAACCCGTGAAGACGCATCCTGTACCTCTCTGGAATGACTTCCAGGATCACCATTCAATCTTCCCTTACTGTCACAATCAGAAAAGGTGTGTCTGTTCTCATAAAAAAAAAAGAAAGTCCAGCAAAGCTTGCTCTGATGTTAGTAAATTAGAATCCCAGATAAATACAAATTTCCTAAGATTTAGGAAACCATTTTAAAAGGAGAAACTTAAAATAATGAAAATATATTTTCATTTATTTTTAGCAGTCAATTCTACATTCAAATTGTTTCGTTTCTGGAACTCAAATCTGACTAACATTAACACAGTTTCTAAGCACGACAAATGCTCGTACCTTCCTCAATTCTTACACGGATTTTTAGTCACAAATGACTGATACAAAATGCCAGATGCTTCGACAGCCTCCAGACTAACAGGCAACTTCCTTGTACCAATCTATGCATTACGCAAATATGACCACTCTAAACCCTAGGCCCAGATCTGAACAGTATACCCTAGGCCCAGATATGAACAGTGTACCCTAGGCCCAGATTTGAACAGTGTACCCTAGGCCCAGATCTAAACAGTGTACCCTAGGCCCAGATCTGAACAGTGTACCCTAAGCCCAGATCTGAACAGTATACCCTAAGCACAGATCTGAACAGTGTACCCTAGGCCCAGATCTGAACAGTGTACCCTAGGCCCAGATCTAAACAGTGTACCCTAGACCCAGATCCAAAGAGTGTACCCTAGGCCCAGATCTAAACAGTGTACCCTAGACCCAGATCCAAAGAGTGTACCCTAGGCACAGACTGAAAAATACTAAAATTTGTTTTATTTATTTATGCTACAAATATTCATTCTTACAGGAAATGCCTATTTAAATCTTAAGAAACTATTGAATATGCTTTATTCTTCCTGAGGATCTAGTTTAATAAGGATTTAATAACCCAGGATACAGAAACTCAAAGAATGATCCATCTGCCTATTTGCTTTTAAAGGCTACCACAGAGATGCAGAATCTGGAAGGTGTCTAAGAAGTTTACTTAAAACCTCCAAATCATTTTTAGTTCCTGAGCACAGGCATGACCTTGTGCGTCTTACCAGATGAACAGCCATGTGTCACGCATGCGCTTACGCATTTGGTCATGCTTCTCGTAAAGTTCCTAAGCCTGGACTTACCTAGTTTGTGATCATTAGCTAAACTAGATAATTTTTAAACCCATTAAACAAACAGTCTAACTTCAATATTGTGCAACAGGGACAACATGGACAAAGAAACTCGCTTTCTGAACACCTTCAGTGTCGACCATTGGGCAAGGGGTTAAAGACAACATGCCTATATAGCCATGAGCAGGACTGGAGGTTAAATACCAATGGCTGTTTTTTTTTTCCCCTTTAGAGAAAAAGGTAAATAAAACCAAGATAGGGGTGAACACCTGTAATGCAAGTTCCTTGAGGAGGCTGAGGGAAGAGGAGCTACTCGGGCCCTGAAGTTAAAGAACACCCTACACAGTGAAACACCAACTCAAAGCAAAAATCAATCAATCAATCAATTTATTGATAGTAAACGGAGATTGTAGTAATGAACACCTGCACAGGTACTCTTGTACACACACACACACACACACCCCTGGGAAAGCCGCTCACTTATCTAAAGCTAGCAGCAGCTGGGAATACAGTACAGAAGCAGGGCCCAGGCCTCACGTGTATGAGGGCCTAAATTCAATGTCCAGCGTCAAAACAAATAAGGGCAACGGGAAGCCATTAAAGCAGGAACTGGAATAGAATCGCTTTTACAAAACACACTGTGAATCAGCAAGGACAGCGCAGCAGTTAAGTTAGGTACTATAATTCACGTAGGCTATGGTGGTAGAGCAACGAACAGCCCACGGTTAATCTCAATAAGGGCTGCATAACCAGGTAAAGACGAGATAATGAAATAAAAAAAAAAAAGAAAAAGTAGCTCTTGCAGGCCTGAGGCCCTGGGTTCACCCAGTGTCTGAGCCTCCAGCCTTAGCACTACGGACATCTACTGTTGAATACACTGAGCTTAGCCTGCTTTCCAGGTATCTTAACAGTGGCAGATTCTTT